TCAACATCATACTGAATGGAGAATAACTGAAAGCATTTCCTCTAAAATCAGGAACAAGAATGTTCACACTTACCACTCCTATTCAATATAGTTCTCGAAACTCTAGCCAGAGCAATCAGCAAGAGAAGAAAATTAAAGGGATACAAATAGGAAAAAAGAAGTCAAAATATCTGTTTGTTCATGACATGATCCTATATGTAAAAGACCCCAAAAAAACCCCACCAGAAGACATCTAGATATGATAAACAAATAGAATGGAAGAAAATCTTTGCCAGCTACTCCTTCAACAGGTGATTAATATCCAGTAGCAGCATATGAGATCAACATACAAAAATGAATAGCTTTCCTATACTCCAATAATGAGTCTGCTGAGAAGGAAATCAGGAAAACTATCCTGTTCATTATAACATCAAAAAAATATTTGGGAATAAATCTAACTAAGGAGGTAAAAGACCCCTAACAAAGAAAACTATGTAACACTGAAGAAAGAAATTGAAGAAGACCTTAGAAGATTAAAAGACCTCCAATGTTCTTAGATAGGCAGAATTAATATTGTCAAAATGATCATATTAACAAAAGCAATATACAGATTCAATACAATCTCCATCAACATATCAATGAAATGCTTCACAGAACTAGGGAAAAACAGTCCAAAATTTCATATGGAAGACTAAAAGACCCAGAATAGCCAAATTAATACTGAGAAAGAAGAGTGATACTGGAGGCATCACAATACCTGATCTCAAATTATACTACAGAGTTATAATAACAAAAGTAGCATGTCACTGGCATCAAAACAGACACATAGACCGATAGAAGACAGAGACAACCTACATGTTATCTGATACTTGACAAATGTGCCAAAAACATATGCTGTAGAAAAGAACCTTTTTTAACAAACGATGCTGGGAAAACTGGATATCCATACATAGAAGAATGAAACTTGACTTTTTAAACCATATTAAGTGGATCTAGGAATTAGACCAAATACTCTACAACTGTTAAAAGAAAACAGGCTCAATACTCTAACATATTGGCACTGTACATATTGACATTGTCCTTAAAAAGACACCTAAATCCTGAGAAATAAAACCAAGAATCAAAAAGTGGGATGGCATTAAATTTAAAAGCTTCTGCACAACAAAAGAAAGAAGGCTGTGAAGAAAAAGCTAATAGAATGGAAGAAAATCTTTGCCAGCTACTCCTTCAACAGGTGATTAATATCCAGAATCTTTTGTATAAAAACATAACACCAAAAAAATTAACAAATGGGTAAAAGAACTAAACACAGATTTCTCAAAAGGAGAAATACAAATGGTCATCAAGTATATGGGGGAAAAAACGTCTAACATCCCTCGTAATCAGAGAAATGCAAATCGAAACCACATTGAGATATTGTCTCACTCCAGTTACAATGACAATCTTCAAGAATACAAATAATAATAAATGCTGACTATGATGGGGGCAAGGTATGCTCACAAATTGTTGGTGGAACTGCAAATTAGCACAACCACTTTGGAAAGTAGTATGGAGATTCCTCAAAAGACTAGGAATGGAACCCCCATATGATACAGCTATCCCACTCCTTGGTATTCACTCAAAAGAACCAAAGTCAGCATACTACAGTGTGAAAGCACTTCAATATTTATAGCAGTGCAATTCACAATAGCCAAGTTTTGGAATCAGCCCAGATGGTCATCAACAGATGAATGAAGAAAATGTGATACACACAAACACAAACACATACACACACAATGGCGTTTTAGTCATAGATAAGAATGAAATTATGGCATTTGCTGATAAAATGGATGGAAATGGACAACACGATGCTAAGTGAAATAAGCCAGACTCAGAAAGTCAAGGGCCGAATGTTTTCTCTCATATGCAGACACTACAGCAAAATAAGCGGGGAAAGGTGGTGGGGTAATCCAATGAAAACAGAAGAGAGATCAGTGGAGTAAAGGAAGGGAATAGAGGAAAGAGAAGAGGGATGGGAAAAGGGAGAAACTACAGAATGAAATTGACCAAATAATGCTATGTACCTGTATGAATATACCACAACAAATTTCACATTTATGTATATCTATAAAGCACCAATTTAAAAAAAAAACTAACTAAATAGAAGGAGGAAGATCAGTAAAGTGGATGAAGGGGAACAGGCAGAGGAAAGAGGAAAAGGAAAGAGGAAGTAGGGGGGACTGAAATGAAGCAAATTATATTTTATGTGTGTATGATTTTTCCAAAATGAATCCTATTGAGTATCATACACTAATAAAAACATTTTTAAAAATAAAAGACACATATATTATGGCACTCAGGGGGAAAAAAGTCATATGAGCAGTAAGGGTTACTGTATGACCACATAGAGGAGGAAAAAACTCAACTTTTATGGATACATTATGGATAGGATGGTTTGTCATACAGGTTCAGAAATGGAAAGCAGCTGTGAGGGGTAACGAGAGGAAAAACTTTCCCAAATGTTGAAGCTTTGAATTCTGCACACACATAGAGATCTGCTTTGTGTGGAACTCCACAAATTCCTTAAAGCGAAGAGTTATACAAGTCAGCTTTGTATTCTTCATTATCTACTCTTAACAGACAATTCTCTTAGTTTTAAGATAACGTAAAATTTAGTCAAGGTTATTATGCAAAAAAAGGAATTTATGATAAGGATACAGTGATTCTTTTACAAAAATTCAAGGACAGGAATAAATACAGGTCTAAGGAAATTCTAAAACTGGAGACTTTTCCCATATCATCTTTGTACCTCCCTGAATATACAATTTGCTTTCTCTCTTCTTTATACATTGATATTTTCTACATCTCCAGGAAAAATGTATGTGAAAAATGGCCTCTATCATAGATGGATGAAGACACCACACACAATACATAAATAAAGCACCGATTTTTAAAAAATACATAAATAAAGCACATAATACATAAATAAAGCACCAATTTAAAAAACAGTAACTAAATAGAAGGAAGATCAGTAAAGTGGATGAAGGGGAACAGGAGGAGGGGAACACACACACACACACATTATTGATCCAACCAACTTGATAGAGTCATTCTTTATTCAGAATGGTTGCTAGGGGCTCAGCCTTGACCCAGATAACTAGGTCATTGTGAGATTAAAAAAATAAATAAACAATAATTCTCATTAATTCTCCCCTGAAAAATCTGAATCTTCTTAGGCATATCTGTTTTTATTTATTATATAGTTCTGTCGACAATCCATCCTTCTTTAAAACTTACCTTTATCTTTTCTTCTCCATTCTGACTCTATTATTTGCCAAAATGATAGTTCAAAAGATATATATTTTACCGTGATTAAATTCACATTTCTTTACCAGTGAGGATAAACTTTTTCTCATGACATAGGGCTATCAGTATTTTTGCTCTTTTGGATTGTAGGTACTGAATTGTGTCCTTTCCCAAAATTCACATGCTGAAGTGTCAACCCCAATACTGTATTTAGAGACAAAGCCTTTACAGAAGTAAGTAATGTCATAAAACAGGCAAGGTCATTTGAAGGCAGATGTTTGCAAACCAAAGTGAAAGATCTCCAAAGAAACCAAACCTGCTGATATAATGACCTTGGACTTCTATCCTCCAGAATTGTAAGAAAATAAATTTGTGTTGTGTAAGCTTCAAAGTCAGTCTGTGGTATCATCTTTGACTTTGTCATGTCAGCCCAAACATATTAGCAGTTTACCTCTGTATTTCTTTTTTTTTTCTTTAGATTTGTTTCTTCAGGTAATAGCACTCTAATTTTAAGGCCTTAGCCTTTCATACATGATGAATGCTACAAATATTTTTCCAATTTATTTCCCTTTCTCCTTCAACTTCTTCTTTTTGGCTTTACTTAGTCATTTTAAAATTTGCAAGCCAAATTTTTCAGACTTTTCTTTTATTGCTGCTGCATTTGAAATTATGCTTGAGATCGCCCTTCTCATCCTCAGAATTATATTTATCTACATGTTTTTCCAGTTCTATTTTTTTCCTTTTTGGTCACTCAAATGTTATTTTCAGTGTATAATGTAAGATATAGCTCAATGTTTTAACATAGCTAACCAATTCCCTATATCATTTACTCAATCATTTTCCACTGATTTGAAATCTTTTAGCATAGCCTAAATATACTTCAAACTTCTGTTGCTTTTTGCTTATAATGATCATTCATTCAATAATTCATTTTGGAGACTATATTCTCCCACAATCACCATTGGGGAAAACGAATTTTCTAAGTTTAAGAAAAATCTTGGATGTCTTCCAGTGTGGGAAAAAAAAAGATTTTTCTTTTTTCTTGGATTAGGGAAAGCTTTTAAAGTGAGTTTTAAGTTTTTCATCATATGTTTTCATCTAATAAAAATATTTTATCAAATGAAGGGCAGGTACCATCGGATTTGTCAAATTATCATACTAATAAAAGAAAAATGATAAACTACATGAGGACTGTTATTTGGCTTTTTCAGATTCCTTTAAGAGAGCGTTCTAATCTTTTATTATCACTATTATTATATATTATTAACACCCCCCCCCCCATTCTCTTAATAAAATTTCAACAGTAACGAAGGGTGAGTCACAAGACTGTTTTCACAATGATTACTGCTTAGTGGTAAGAAAAGGACCCACCCAATGGTGGGGCCTTGGAAGAAGGGGAAATTCTTCCAAGAATTTCCAACAGAAACACGGGCGCAGTCCCGCAAAGCCCGTTCCCCACTTCCACCACTCCCCCCCACCCCGGGAGCGGAAGGTTGAGGTAGGACGCCGAAGTTGTGTGGAAAGGCGGAGCTAACTGAGAGGGAGGCCACAGAAAAAGTGCACTCAGATTTTTGAAGATGGTAGAGTGAACATCTTAACTATCTCTAGATGCTCAGCCAAAGCCTCAGAAAGAAAACGCAGGAAGATTTTCTATCAGGCGTGCGGAATTCCGGGGGAAAGCTCGGCCCCACCCCACCCCGGCATCCTTTGCGCGGCGCACTCTTCCGGTCGGCCGCGGTCAGCCCGGAGTTGCCATGGAAACCCAGAGGCCCTAGTTATGTCGCTGCAGCGGCCTCCTCCGTCGCGCGTGTTCGTAGAACTGGTTCCTTGGGCTTCTCGGGGCCAGGAAAACAATTTGATCACTGGCGGAGAAACGCGGCCCAATGTCTGCCGCCCCTTTTCCTCAACACAGGCCCAAGCCGCGACCCGCGAAGTGCACGTCAGCGGCACTGCGGAGGTGTCTGCTAGTCCTGACCGGGCACAAGTGGCAGTGCGAGTGAGCAGCACCAAGGAGGCAGCGTCGGAGGCTAAGAAGAGTGTTGGCCGTCGCCTAGACTACATCATGCAGTGTCTCCAGCAGCAGGGATTGCAGGTGAGAGTTCAGCAGAGCGGAAACTTCCAGCCTCACGGCACAAAGGGATGGGTGGGTGGTTGGGCCCTGACAGAACACTGGTGTGGATGCGGGTGTGGAGATTCTTGGGCGTTTGGAAAGCCTTCGATGCATCATATTTGAAGGCACCACGACCTAGCCAAGTGAATCTTTTTGACCTTTTCATGTTCTAGATGAAAGCAATTCTTGGCCTCAGTAAACTTGCCAAAAAAAATGCAGATTGGGTAGGTTTTTATCTGGTGATTTTGTTTTTACATTTGATGAAATGTTAAAACTTGCAATATTAGATGTAAATACTTGGCTAAGTAGAAAGCTGGGCCCTAAGTTTGCTTTTCTTTTTCTTCCCCCGCCCCCCTTTTTTCTTTTTTGTCATTTTTACTTTATCATGGAACTGGCAAATAAGACGTGACCTGCTTCCTCCGAAGCATGTTAAAGTTTTGTAATGTGTGGTTCTTCAGTATTTTTTTTTTTTTGTAAACAGTATTGCAGGGGGTGAAAAGGTAGCACCCATTTTAAGTTTATAAAAACTCCCTCCAAAATTCTTCAACATTCTTAGTTTTAACTTTTTTTTATAGAACAGTTAAACCAGTGTATTGTGGATGTGACATATGTGAAATACCTCTACTTAACAGAGATGCCCATGAGACAAATCACCTAATAAATCTTGCCTTAAAGCCCACTCCTAAGAAAAAAATGAGCCAGCTTTATTTTATCCATACAACAACCCTGTTAATCATGTTTTAATATCCCCATTTTCTAGATTAAATGAAGGTAAGTAATGCTCTGAACTTTAGCATAGCAGTATTTGAACTTCTGTGTTCTGAAATCAAAATCTAGGTTGCATCCAACTATCCCAGGCTCCAGGTAATTAGAATGAAAGAAAATCGGAAACCATAGACATCAACTGTTTCAGCTTCATTATTTTACAAAGTGCTTGGATTCTAAAGAACAAAGATCTTACTTTATGCAGAGTAACATTGAGTTTGTAAAAGTGCAGTCATTCTTGCTTCCAGTCTATTGCTAGAAATACCATAACCCTGAAAAGCAAGTCTGTATTTTAATAAGGAAAATATGGTTATATTGCATTTACAAAAATAAGAGTTATTAAGTCATTTAGGAAAAAATTCTCAAAAGAGATTTATGATTTAGAAGAATTCAAATGCTAATTCTAAATAATGTGAATAAAATGGGCTTACTATATAGAAAAATGTTTCTTAAAAACCTGCTGTCAGTGCCATAATCTTGTTTGAATTAAGTCATTTACATAAAATATAAACTGGGCCCATGTGTCTCTAACTTCTAATATGTAAAACAAAATAAATTACTAAGTCTAGTTTAGAGTAATTACGTTAAGATTCAATGTTTAAGACAAGACAAAGGATAGTAATCTCCCAAATTATCTCTGTTAATGAAGGAAGGCAATCATGTAGATGATTTGTTCAATAAATAATAAATTAAAATCATTTATATTACTTTTCAGGATGAATTACTTGCATTCATAAAGTCCTTATTCATTTTAAACTTGAGAATATTGGGTTGTAAGTTTTATAAATATCATACCCCTACTTAAAAGGCTCCTCATACTTTTAAACTCTTTTGCTTAATATATGGAACTTAACTCTCTTCATTTCCTGTCATCTTTCTCTCCTCTCTTTGTCTAGCTAACTTTTTCCCCTCTTTCCCCAGGCCAAGCACACCTTTTGGCATTCCTTTCCCAGTATAACACAAGTCTCTATTATATGATACTCTACTCCTTAATAAAATGTATCACCCTGTATAACTCTTGATTTACTTGTCTGTATATATTAAACCTCCCCAAAGCAAAGGGCTTTTTTGCATTCATGAGTTGTGTTCATGTGCACCACATAGGTATACATAGTCAAGGGGCAAGGCAGTTTACTGGAGCCTCTTTTATAAGGGCAATTTGTTGAAGATTCACAAATAAAACAGACTAATATAAGTATGTATGTAATAGAGTAAGAAAGAAAACAATGTTCATTGTACTTGAGGAGTTTCAGTAAGATCTCATAAAAGAAGTGACACTTCTGTCAAATATTAAACAATAATTGAAGGGAAAGCTTTCCTGTTCCTCATTAGAACTCAGCAAACATATATGTTCTGAGCACTATAAGCAGTTCAGAATGGCTAGGACACAGAAGACCTGGGGGACATAAAGGAGAATCGGAGGTAAGATTGATGAAGAAAGCTAGAGGCAGAACATGGAGGAAACTTTGTGTGCCCTACTGAAGAGTTTAGATATTATTAATTATTATTGCTGGGCCTTTTACAAATGCTATTTCATTTAGTATTCCTACCCTATAAAATTAGTACTAAAATTGCTGTTTTACAGATGAGAACTCTCAGGACCAGAGCGATTGTTCACATCTGGGAAGTGGCAGAGTTTAAACTCCAAGAACTTTGATCTCAAAGCCCATGCTCTTGACTACTAAAGTATGTTGCTACTTTATTCTGTTGGCAGTGGGTGATTGAGCAGATGATACTGATCACCCCCACATTTATCTGTTGGCATTTCACATTTGTCTGTTGGCATTTCACATTTGTATGCATGCAGGCCCAACTTCTGTCTGCCAACATATGTGAATTATTTGCCTGAAAAAGAAAGTTTTCCCTGGCTACCAGAATTTATTCTGCCTGCATGTGAGGCCAGACAATAATGCTTGGAAATTAATTCCTAACCCCTCATCCTAACAGCCTTCAATTGAAGGCTTAAATGAAACTGGAATGACTGAGGAGACCCCAGCTTCCTTACTCCTTGAGTAGAAAAACTTGGAGGCATGTGTTCTACCCCAGTTGCAGGGTTTTTCTATAGGATTAAATTTGAGTTACCCATAGTAGTAATTTCCTTGACAATGGCTTATTTTCCTTCTCTCTCTTCCCACTCTGGTGTTCTATGGGATCGTATTCAAAATCACCTATACTCAAATCTTTGTCCCAGAATCTGGTCCTGGAGTCACCCAATTTAAGACAGAGAATAATGGAACAGATAGAACATATATATTAACAGTAGTTTTTTATTATTAAGAATGGTAAAAAAAATGATGTACTTATAGCTAAATATTTATATAAATCCTTAATTAATGTTCTTTGGACATTAACTGCTATATATATATATAGTGTATATTTATATATATATATTTGATATATATATAATCTGTATATATCTATATGGAATATAGATATATATATACTTGAAGGTTGATGAAAAATTACACTCTAGGAAAATAAGTTATACCACAACCTTGCATGGCAGGCAGTATTTTGTTTCTTAATTTTGTTAATTCAGTAAGTCTAAAAAATTATTCTGTTACTTTTTTTTAACATTTGAAGTTAAACTTTTTTCATATTAGTTTCCAGGTACTTTCCTATTTTTCCATTGTTTTTTCTTGGTTAGTTTGGAAGAACCTTAAAATTATGATTGTTCAGAGTTTATGTCTATCATACATTGCAAAAGTTTTCTCCCAATTTCTTATTTATCATATAATTTAGCTTATACTTGTGAATATTCAAAATTTTGAATTTTTATTTACCCAAATTCATTCATCTTTTCTGTATGTTTTCTGCTTTCAATGTAATGCTTATTGGGTCCTTCCTAAGCGTGATGTCATATAGCCATTAACTGATATGTCTGAAATATTAAGGGACCCTTGAAAATGCATTAAATGTTATGTTTTATTTTTACCTTGGTATAAGAATAAGAGTTTTGTAAATAACTGTACTGAGACAAAGTATTGAATTCTGTCATTCCCTTATTGTATTTGCAGGAACCTATCGTAAACTGCCTTTACTAATAAAAAAATATTTCTTTACCTAACTGAAAAGTTGTAATATGAGTAATCAAGTATAATATGGTCAAGACTCTATTTTGATGTAGTTCCCTTGGCTTCATCTGCATCTTCCTGCATGATACAAAATGACTGCAACAATCTGAAGCCTTACATCAAATACTATATCTTAAAAAGACAATTGTGCTTATTAATGTATCCATGTTAAAAAAAAAAAAAAAAAACCTGCAATTCACTCTAACTGGATAATTTAAACTTGTCTTTGTGGCCAGGGAAATGCAGTAGACCAGTTTAGATTGGATATCTGTCCATCTTTTAACCTAATCCTGGGGCAAGTCAGACATGATATCAAGGCAATAAAGACTTATGGGGGTGTCTCTGAATCATAGGACTTCTGCTCTGAAAGAGTAGGGAAAAATATATGATATGAGGATTCCATATTGCCTTTTTTGCCTGTTGCTTTAAAATGTTCCAGATTATTGTTTTTTTGCAGTCTTCAGATGTTCTGGAATTGGGTTATATTAGTAGCACACTATTTAAATTATTAACATCTTTATAAAATCTTTGAGGGAGAATTCTGACCTCGTTATTGTTCCCCTGAAATGATTTCCTATCTGCAAGGAGTGGTACATGTTAAATGGCAAAATGGGAATACAATCAGAAATTCCAGATAGTGGGAAATCCTATAGGACAAATAAGACTTCTCTGTTCATATTTTACATTATATTTATATGTTCATTTTAGGATAATTGCCGATTTTGCAGTATTGTGTCCTAGTCCATTTATTCAGTTATTTTTTCTGTAAAGTTTTATGGTTTTCTTCATGTTTGCCTTTTTATGAAAACAACTGGCTATTAATGTTATTCTCATATTGACCAATTCATTGTATTTATATATAAAAGTGCTTAATTGGGAAAACGTAATGAATTATGCTTGTATAATTCAATATTTTTTAGGTTTACCTGGTATTGGCATGGTTTCTCAATATTGGCACTGTTAACATTTTGTATCATCTAATTCTTTGTCATCCGGGGCTATGCATTGATGTTCAGCAACATTCCTGGCCCATAACCATAGGGTAACCAAAATGTGCCTATTTACTTTAAACTGATTTTCTCATGTCTTAGGAACCTCCTCACTTCCAGACTAACGGGAACACTTGGTCACTTTGTCTATCTA